GCAGAGTGAATATTCCATGAACTGTCAAAAGAACAAACCAGTCTGTTGTAAGAGGCTATGAAACCAGCGTGCTCCTTAGAGGTGGGGATGATGAAACTTCATCGTACGTACTTCGGGCATGTAGTTAGGAGGGGCCAGTCCTTAGAAAGACGTCATGGTGGGAAAGGTAGAGGGTCAGAGAAAGAGACCCTCAGTGAGATGGGTTGACGCAGTGACTGCAATGGGCTTGAGCACATTGGAGACCCTGATGATGGTACGGGGAGGGCTCATTTCAGATCTGTTGTTCACAGAGTCACTAGAAGTCATAGTCAACTTGACAGCACCAACCAAAACCAATTACTTGCTAATCTTCATTTACTATTTTTCAGTGCCCCTACAAGTACAGCTCATTTTCTGAATGTAGATATTTGAAACACCATGTATTGAAGACATGGGTTAAATCTGGTCACACTGCGCACCTACAGCCCCCATTACAGCACCTAGTACAAAGCAGATAATCAATGATCACTAGTTCTTGTTTTACAAATATCCCCAATTCATGGGGACCCCATGCACAATGGGACTGGACCATCATTATCCCTGAGGTTTTCATTGGCTGATTTTCAGAAGTAGATCACCAGGTGTTTCTAACCTAGTTCATCTTGGTCTAGAAGCTCTGCTGAAAATGGTTCAACATCATAGCAACTGACAGCTTGTTAGCAGTACCTGGACATGGACATTGACCAGAATTGAGTCTAGGTCTCCCACATGGAAAACTCTGTGATCCACCACTCATTGTCCTCTGCTACACCTATCAGGCGTCCCTGTGCCAAGCTGGGAGCCAGATTGCCCTACTCTTGTTTTTTATTGTTTTATTGTTGTTGAGAATATACAAGAGACAGCATAAACTCATTCAACTATTTCTGTATGTGTAATACAGTGACATTAATTACATTCTTCAGCTTGCACAACCATTCTCTCTTTCCTGAGTTATTCTTCCCCCAAGAACATCATCTCACTGTTTCTTAAGTTTCTGGCTAATCTTTAGAATGGTTATTGTTGTTGTCTGTTTGATCCCACATAAATAATTCATTAAAAAAGTACAGCACTACACTTAACCAAAGAAGATATTCAGATGGTGAACAAACACATGAAGAAATGTTAAAAATTCCTAGTTCTAAGAGAGATGCAAAGCAAAACAACTATGTGATACCATCTCACCCCACTAAGAATAGCAAAATTTAACAGAGCAGAAAACAACAAATGCTGGTGAGGTTGTGGAGAGACCTGGAACCCTTATTCGCTGTTGGTGGGAATGTAAAATGGTGCAACCACTATGGAAAGCTGTTTGGAGCTTTCTCAAAAAGTTGGAAATAGAAATATCATTTGACCCAGCAATTCCACTACTGGGAATATATCCTAAAGAAACCAGAGCTGCCACCCAAGTAGATATATGCACACCCATGTTTATTGCGGCTTTGTTTACAATAGCAGAGTTGGAAATAGCCCAAGTGCCCATCAACAAACAAATATATGGAGAAGCTGTGGTATATTCACACAATAGAATATTATGCAGCACTGAAAAACAAAGAACTCATGAAATATTTTACAAAATGGGTGACCATGGAGGGCTTTATGCTGAGTGAACTAGCTCAATCACAAAAAGACAAATACTGTATAATGCCACTGTTATAGATCAGGACTGATATGGGGGTTGGGGTGAAACTAAGAAAAGAGGGGATAAACAATGAATGAATGGAAATCCCAAATTTCTGTAAGTATTTATTAAAATTAATAAAATAAAAATAAAAAAAACAAGGAACCAAAATAAAAATAGCAGGCAAGCTTTAAAAAAAATGGACATTTAAAAAAAGAGGGGATAAATAATGTACACGGCATTGAAACAGATGAGGGAGAGAACTGTATAAAAGGAACATATGATTAGGTATTATTGGCATGACAAGAGTCCAGTATAAGAGTTGCATAGTAAAGTGGTCTGTGGGTGGGGGACAGGGAGGAAAATGTGCAACAATGAAGGAATGGAAATCCAAGTTATTTATAAATTTCCAATAAAATCTAAAAAAAAAAAAGAATACAGTGCTCAAGGTATTCTTTACAAAGCTGCTAACTATAAGGTCAGTAGTTTTAACCCACCAGCTACTCTTCAGGAGAAATATGGGCCGTCTCTTCCTATTAGGATTTACAGCCTGAAAAACTCAATGAAGGGTTGCTGTGGATTAGATTGAACTTGATGGCTCTGGGTTGGTTTTTGTTGTTTGGGTGGTGGTGTTGTGTTTTTTTTTTAAATTTTTTGGTTTAAAGAATACTGCAGGGAATAATTTTGGTTTAAGTATTTTGTTTTGTTTTGCTTAAGGTTTTTTTTTTAATTTTATTTATTTATTTTTTGAAATGTGTGTGCCATCAAATCAGATTTGACTGGTACAGGAGGAGATTGTCCCTCCTTCTTCAGCAGAGCATCTGGTGGATTTGAACCTCACATCTCTGGGATTGCAGTGGAGCTTCTTGCCACTAGGCCACCAGAGCTCGCCTGTTTTGCTTAAGTTTTAAGGATTATCTCAGGGCAATAGTTTCAGAGATTCACTCAGACTCAATGGAACCAGAGATTCTGGATTCCATGAAAGTTTGAAATTCTGTTCTGCATTTTCCTCTCTTTAACCAAAGATTCTTCTATATAACATTCTGTAGTGGTAGCCAGGCACCATCCTGGCAAAGGAGGCAGTTTTTCTTGATGGCAAGTAGTCGCACATTCCATTTACCCCTGCTGCTTCTCATTCTCCTTCCTCTCTTGGTCCAGGTGAAGAGACAGTGTGGTGCCTTCAATGGCCACTTGCAGACTTTTAAGAACCCAAGCTCTATGAGATGAGCTAGAAAATTGAACAGAAGCACTAAACATGGTATGAGGCCAATGAACAGGGATCGAACTACCCTACCCTTTGAGAAGGACATCATGCTTGACAGGGTGGAGGAACAGTACAAGAGAGGAAAACCCTGGATTAGATGGCGAGGGTAATGGGGGTAGGTGTGTTGGAGACAGTGAAATTAGCTCAAGATAGAGCAGGGTTCAGAGCTGTTGAACTTAGGGTTGCTCTGCCTTACGAATGCCATGGCAGCACATAACAAAAACACAACCCTTAATGTGAATACAGATCAAGATCTGACTTTTCTCAAAGAATAGAACACGATAATCAGAACAAGGAAGTTCTTTCCAAGAAAAAAAAATGGAATATGACCAGAAGTCAGCCTGAAGATTTACATACAGTTGTGAACTTGGCCCTATGACCAGATTCCGACCTCGACATCAATGGGGTCATTTGTGATATTTGTTGGATTTAAGGGTGGTTTCTTCATCTCTGTCTTTGCTGGCTCTGAACCACATTGCTGGGCTCTGGGGTGTGAAAGGTTAAGCCTTAGTTCTCTTTCCAACTCTCCGGTTGGCTGCCTTTCAGCACAGTGAAATGACCCCATTTATCACAAGGCACAGAGAGAAGTTCTTAGAAGAAAGGTGATCTGCAAAGTGAAGGCGGTGATTTTCAAGTTTACTCAGGTTTAAATGAAAGCAACAGACATGCTTAAAGAAGTACATAATGGTGGCAATTATAAGGTGGCAAGAGCCATTTCATAATTTGACTCGTGTCTGTCACATAAAACCCAGTTGGGAATCTCTATGTAAAATGCTGGAAATGTAAGGAAAGAAGCAGCTTTTTTTCCATTCTTAAAACCTAGGGCTGTCATGATATTCCCAGCCCCCACCATCCAAGAACACATATCAGTTTGGGTTTCAAGTGTGATATGCTTTATAGCTGGCAAAACCCGATAAGATTGCCCCAGAGTCCAAGTTGTGTTTCTAAGTCCAATGGCACCCCATGCCTTAGGAATTCCCAGCTGCACCACACAATCCCTTCTTTGTGGACGTATCCCAATGGACTTTCGCACAGGAGCAGTTTAGAAGCCTCATATCATAACAGCCCATAAAAGATGCAATTGCCCCCAAGTAACAGTTCTTTGAAAATCTGAGTATGACCACTTGCCCAGGTTTTCAGGAAGTCCCAGTTGGTTAAAGGCTTCTCGCACTGGGAGAAGCTGGTTCTGAAATGTCAGGGTCTGATCACTCCAGGTGCACACCTTGGGATAGGCCTGAAGAGAACTGGGGCTTCATCTTAGGGGGGCAATGGTGGGGACAGCACAGGGAGCATCAGGAGCCAAACTGAGTGATGCAAATCAGCGAAAACTCCTTATGCCACGATTCAGCTCAGCGTGGTTTTACAAATCCTGTAATGATGCTGTGAATAGCCCGGTTAGATGGCACTGGGTTAAAGGCAGTTCCTAATGGACACCTGAAAAGTCTACTGCCCTTTCTGTAAACGGAAGTTAACTCCAAGCCACAGCCCTCTACCCCTTCTCCACCTCTTGAGAGTCCACCCCCTGGGCTCAGGTGAGGCCACCCACCACCGCTGCCTCCCTTAGGTGGGTCCGCCCCGCCCTCCCGAGTCCCCGCCCACCCTCCAAATCCCCGCCCACCCTCCCAAATCCCGCCCACCATCTCCTCAGGTGGTGCGGCCCCGCCCTCTCGAGGCCCCGCCCCAGGCCCGGCCCACCGCACATCCCGCCTCAGGTGGGGCCGCCCCGCCCTCCCCGAATCCCCCCCGCCCCCGCCCACTGCGTCTCGCCTAAGGTGGGGCCGCCCCGCCCTCCCGAACCTCCGCCCCCTATTCTGTCCCCGCCCACCTCGTCTCCCGCCTCAGGTGGGGCCGCCCCGCCCGCCCCGCGCGTCAGGCCGCTTTTCCTCAGCGCCTCGCGGACGGCAGTCTAGGCGGCGCAGCAGCGAGTTTTGCTGTTTTTGGCGGAGACGCCGGCTGCTGCGCGCTCTCGGCGGACGGCTGTGGCGGCCGCCGACCCTCCGGGTCTCCTCAGTCCCTTCCCGAAGTTCTCGCCGCCCCGAGTTGGGCGGCCACGAGGCTCCGCCGCGTCCTCCCGCGCTCGCCGGCCCGGCGGCCGCAGCCATGTCGCGGGGCCCCGAGGAGGTGAGCCGGCTCACCGAGAACACCTACCGGGTAAGCGGAGCCCCTGAGACAGGGGCACCGGGTTCGAGGCCGGGAGGCTCAGGGGCGGAGGCGGCCCGGGCGGGGAGACCCTCTGCGGGCTCCCTCCAGGAGTGGAAGATCGGGGGGCCTCGGGGGGTACCGTCCCCACCCTGGGGAGCTGGGGTCTGTGCCCGGGCGCCCCTTCCTCCGGCTGCCCCTCGGGAGAGCGATGGCCCAGCCGGCGGGCAGACGGGCTCGCGTTCCCTTGAGCCAGTGCGTCCCGCGGCCGGAGGGACCCCCGGGGTCAGGAGGGACCCCCGGGGTCAGGAGGGACCCCGCGGCCGGAGGGGCCCCCGCAGCCGGAGTGACCCCGCGGCCGGAGTGACCCCGCGGCCGGAGGGGCCCCCGCAGCCGGAGTGACCCTGCGGCCGGAGGGACGTCCCCGGGGTCAGAAGGGACCCCGCGGCCGGAGGGGCGCCCCGGGGGTCCGGAGGGACCCCAGCAGCCGGCGGGGCCCCCGCAGCCGGAGGGGCCCCGCGGCCAGAGGGACGTCCCCGGGGTCAGAAGGGACTCCGCGGCCGGAGGGGCCCCCGGGGTCGGGAGGGCCGGGTGCGCGCCGGGCTGGGGCGGGGACGTCCAGGGCCGTGACCGCGGGAGGTTCCCGAGTCCGAGGCGCGGAGAACCGTCCACCTCGCTCGGCTTCAGGAATGCGCGACCCGCAGCCTTGGAGTTTGCATTTCGTACTGGAGATTTTTCCAGACACAGGGATTTAGGGTTAGAGGCCCGTTTAAGTCACTTTAAGTACTTATAAATGAATTCCAGTTGAAATAATATATGTCTTTAATCATCTGCTATGAATAGAATACAAAACCCCAGGGACTTGAGAGTTCTCAAGATTTTTGTTTGTAGCCTTTTTTTGGTTTTTTTTTTTTTTTTTGGTAGCCGTTTTTAAAGCCCGCTGTTTGGTAATTTTTTTTTTCCCCGCGTGTGTGTGTGTGTGTGTGTGTGTGTGTGTGTGTGAGAGAGAGAGAGAGAGAGAGAGAGAAACCTACGATTTAATTTCTGGACTTGCAAGGTCTGAGTGAGTTCCTGAAATCAAAGTAGCATATTGACTTTTATTGGATGTGTCTTCATAATCGATCAGATCCAGAAGATTACAGATTCCCTTCAAAGTGCTTAATCTGCCATAAATGATAGATACAGGAGACACCAATGAAATGGTTAACAGTATTTGGGCGTTAAGAAGCTGTGACCAAAAGCTGCACAAGACCCCCCCCCCAAAAAAAAAAAAACCAGCCCCACTGCTGTCAAAGTACCTCTAATCGGTAGGAACATCCAGGACAGAGTAGACCTGCCCCGTAGTTCTCAGCTTACAAATCTTCAAGGAAGCAGGCTTTCTCACACAGCTGGTGGATTTGAACCACTGGCCTTTTAGTTAATAGCCCCACACTTACTTCTCTGTACCACCAGCACCTGTCCATGTTTCCTTAACACTTAGGTTTTCTGTAAAGTCCTTTTGAAGGTGGTGGGGTGCTGACTCAGTGCGTAAATTAGCCCGTTCTTACTCTTAGATTTGAGGAGAATCTTCCCTGATGCATGTCAGTCAAGGAAAACTTAAGTTAATTGAAGAATGCAAAAAACATGGCTGATTTGAGACAGTGGTTAAGCCTCCGCTGGGATACAAAAACTCAGTAACACGGCGGTCCTTTCCCTTTCCCACCTGCATTAGAGAATATAAATCCAACACACACCAAACCATGATCCTGATTCATAGTGACCCTGTAGGACAGGGTAGAGCTGCCCCCTTGGGATTTCCCAAACTCTAATCAGGGAGCACCGGCTCCAAATATTTTCTCCCTCAAGTGACTTGTGAGTTCAAACTGCCAGCCTTTCTGTTAGGGCGAGGCACTCAGCCATTACACCACCAGGGCTCCTTTCCAAGAATGTAGGCATGTGTATCTTGTCAATCTTAGATGAAGTATCAAATTGAGACAATTAGATGCTTGAGAGAAAACAGTTGTCTTTGCCCGTTCTTCTACTACTTCCTGACTGAGAGAGGTGACTCAGTGGAGGGACTGTCGTCTGGTTAGTGAGTGTCACTTACGCCAGCCCAAAGAACTGGCGCAGGAGGAAAGTTGCAGCATTCATCATAATGTCGATTTAGAGACCTAAAGGCAATATGTTTTTGAGAAAGATCATCTTCTGAAGGTCAGAGATCAGGGCCTCATTGCTTCCCAGGAGTCTTCAGACACACCCAAGGCTCAGTAGTTGTGATTTTAAAACCAAAGAGTTGGCTTTACTCATGATTTTCTCTTTGAGATTTGAGATCACTTTGCGGCGGGGGCAGTGGAGGTGAACAGGTCAGAATTTACGAGTTTGTCTTTTGCTTGTGCTTTGGCTGTGATGGAAGTACACAGGGAGGTTTTTTACACTCAAAACTCTGATTGGAAGCCCAAAATCCTTCATCACCTCCTCATTATTACACACACACACACTCACCTACTCACCTTCCAACGATCAAAAACTGCACACAGTTTAACTTAATATGGCACAAATCTTCTGGCGGTTTGATGACTCTAATTCTTTCAGGAAGAGATTTTCTTTTCAGCTAGCAGTCTACAATATTTTACTAATACAGAAACACAACCTAACCAGGTGCACTTACAAAAGACACCTGCAAATGAGATTTATGTCATACCAGTATGGGTTTCAGGTGAGTTGGTGTTTTTTGTATACTCGAATTTCTTCAACTTTGAACTAAAAGGAAAAAATTCTTTAGAGAAAACAGGGGAGGGGGCTTTAGACTAGGGCGGTCCTCTCCATGCAGTATCAGATACCCTTAAATATATATTGACACATTTGCCAAGTTTTCAGAAACACATACTTAGACAAATGATTCCTGGAGAGCCATGCTAACTCCTAGTTGGGAGTGTGTTTGACCACTTCACAAGTGGTTTAATAATAGGCCCCAAACTGTCAAGTAATCTTGCCATTGCTAATTAGGGTTCAACTAAAAAGCCTTCTCCCAACATTTTAGTCTGTAATATGCCCATAATTTGCCCTCAAAAGCGTGCCTGCGATTCTGCATGGTTTTCTAATGAGTGCATGTTTTAATGGTACCAGAAAGAAACAGAAGTTCAAAAAAACCTTTAAGAGTCGCCATACCTTCCTAGAAGATCCCACCGCTGATTTAAACTCATGCTGTCCTCCACAGGGCTTCTGAGGCTGTAAATCTTTAGAGGGAGAGACTACCCTTCTTTCTGCTTTGGAGCTACTGGTCGATTTGAACTGCTGACGTTTTGGTTAGCACAGCACTGTGCCACGAGAGCTCCTTCCTAGAAGTTAGAACTGTAACTGGAAGTATTAGGAGACTGAGACGTTGAGGAGGGACGGATGGGGTGGTATCCAGAGATACCGTCCTTACATTAATATTACTAAGGGGGAAACGAAGCTTAGAAGGGAGAGGGGAAGAGGGGCACTGAAGTCTTTGTTTAAATGTCACTTTCTTAGGAGGGCCTACTCCAAAATCTCCACCCACCTGCCTAACCACCTTATGGTACGTGTACTTTCCTCATAGTACTTACTCATTGCCATGGAGTCAATTCTAACTCATAATAAACCTATAGGGCAGAGCAGAACTGCCCTGCAGTGTTTCAGAGGGTGTCATCATTATGGGAAGGAGTCCTGCTGGCACACTGAATTACATATTACTTTTAGGGGGAATACGGACGATCTCCTCTATAGAAACCAAGCAGAAGGCTGCTGTGAGTCAGAACTGGAGATGGGTTTGTGTTTTTCATAATCCTTAGAGAAGAGACTGCCACGTACTTCTCCCAAGGAGCAGCTGTTAGGTTCCACTCACCAGCTCTACTTGCTACCAGGCCGCCTTGTAGCTCACTTGTTCCTCATTGCTGCTGAGTTGGAGCCAACTTCTCGCTAACCCACCCTTGGATTTCCAAGGCTGTAAATCAGCCTATAGAAGATTACTCATCTCCCTCAGAGCTGCTTGTGAATTTGAGCCACCAGAGAGGCGTGACCTTTATATTAGTGTAGTGGGAAGCCAAAAATTTGTGTGAATCACTTTATTGCAAATATTTACAAACTAAGTATTTCCGACGTCTGCATTTAGTAATTTAATTTTTATTGTTGTTAAGTGCCTTCAAGTCAACTCTGACTCTTAGCAAACTTTGGAACAATAGATTAGAACCTTGCCCTACCTGGTGCCATCACCATTCCTTGGTACAGTCATTATGTCAATCCATCTCATTGAGGGTCCTTCTTATGCTGACCCTCTGTTTTTCTAAGCATGATATCCCTTCCCAAGACTTGGCCCCCTTCTGGCACTATACCCAAAATACATGAGACAGTTTCACCATCCTTGCCTCTTAAGTAGCACCCTGGTTGCACTTTCTTCAAGAAAGGTTGGTTTGCTCTTTTGGCAGGCATGGGATGAATATTCAGTACTTACCACCAACACCACAATTTAAAAGTATTGGTTCATCTTTGATTTTCCTTAGTCATTGTCCAACTTTCAGATGGATAGGAAGCAATTGAAATTACCGTGGTTTGGATCAGACACAACAACTTGGTCTTTAATATCCTTGCTCTTTAATGATTTTCTGTGTTGTTATGTGCTGTTGAATTGGAACCAACTCATAGCTGATCCTTCAGGTTTTCAGAGGCTATAAATCACACAGGAAGAGATGGCCCATCTTTCTCCCATAGAATAGCAGGTGGGAAAAAAAGGGGGAAGGGGAAGAAGAGCTGGTAGAGATTCAGACTGTTAATTCATAATCATTGATGTGGGGGTATTTTTGACCTTATTTTTACTGTGGTGAGAGTATGTATGATGAAACATGCCAATTCAGCCACTTCTAACACCTACAACTCAGTGGCATTGTTTTTATTCTCCAAATTGTGCGAGCATTTGTTTTCCCAATCTTTCTACCCATTGGTATGCTTTCAGCAAACTTTGTTTGATTAGGAAAATGAGATTCTGTTTGTTCTTTTATTAGGTAAAACAAACAGCCTAGGCATGTGTACAAGGTTTTGTTTTTGTTCATAGTTTTCTGTGTTCTGGACTTGGTTTTAACTGAGGATATGTCAAATCCCTGCCTGATTTGTTTCTAGCATTCACGCCCATGTGTAGGCTTAGCTTTCTTGGTTTTTAGAAATTATGATTTGAATGAAAAGCAAATTGGTTTTCCATTCACCCATTAGTACACATTTTGTTTTATAACATACACCCCTTTCTGCCTTGTGGACTTTATCCTTGAGTACATGCTTCGATTTTGGCCTTATTTGGTTGGTTATTTTAGGAGTGAGCGCCTCCCTGGTATAGATTGTTCACCCTGTAAGTCTACTGTTTGGCTGAAAGTTGAGCCACAGGGATGAGTTTTATTCCGGAATCAGAGGCTGACTAAGGGTCTTGGTCTCAGGTATTCTGCAGTCGGTCAGATCAATAAGCCTGCCGTTTTAATGGTTTTAAGTTGCGTTGCACATTCCTCCTACCCGTGATCCAGTACCATCCAGTTCTTTTGGTCCTAGGGTTGTGGATTTGAGGTCCACGTGCTCCCTTCGTCCTTTGCACTTATTGTTTCTCTACATAGTTTCTCTTCTCTCTTCTTTGTCTCAGACAAGAAGAGACCAATAGTTGCACCTAAGATGGCTGCTCAGAAAGTTTTAAGACCCCAGGTAGTACTCACCAAAGCAGGATATAGAACATTGTCTTGGGGGCTCTGTTATGCAGGGGGCTATGATCTTAGTTTTTGAA